CTTGCTATCGGTGCTGACTGTCCTCCTCTGAGTCAGAAGTATCCGCCCTACTTCTTCGCGCCGTCTGCGGCGCACAACTCGAGGGACAATCAGCCAAAGCACGGCGCCTCCGAAGTCAGGCGAGGGGGTCTGGGAAGTCCAGACCGCTTCCCAAGACCGGCTTTTCACCCTCAATCGTTTTGCGACGGTCCCGGAGCCAAGCAAGGGCCTGCAAGGGCGAACTGCCAACACGCCCACGTCGTGTTTTTGTTCCACGGCCCGAAGGGGTCCAGGAGAACCCAGAATAGGATCGATAAGTCGTATCGGCGATCGAAATGAATCGGATATGCGGGAATCGGCACCCAAGTCGGGAGACCCCAAATCGACGGAAATCGGCAGGTTGGTAAGGCCTCCATTGGGAAACCGAAAGCCGACTCGGAATCCGACATCCGAAATCCGAGGTCGGATCGGAATCGGCATCGATCGAAATCGAAGCGGATCGCGTCGGACGGGGCGAAAGGAGCCCTGGGGTCTGGAGATGCTGGGCAGTGGACGCTTTCCCCGCCCTTTGTAGGGGAGTCTGCCTCTGGGCGGGCCGCGAGCCTGCGCGGGGACGCGCGCGCGCGCGCGCTGGCAGGGCCGGACTGGTGGGGGGCAGCCTTCTGCGGAGGCCCGCGGGGTGCTTCGGGCCTGCGCACGAGAGTGGCTGCGGCCATGGGATCTTGGGAGGAGGAGGGGGGGAGGAGGAGGGGGGAGGGAGGGGGGAAGAGGAGGAGGAGGAAGGAGAGGAGGAGAGGAGGAGGAGGAGGAGGAGGAGAGGAGGAGGAGGAGGAGGAGGAGGGGAGAGGAGGAGGAGGAGGAGGAGGAGGAGAGGGACGAGGAGGTGGAGGAGGAGGATAAGATTTAGACATCTCCGCGCACTGGGACCCCCAGGAGGCCAAACAGGCCTCCGAGAGGCCTCCCAGGGAAGCCCCCAGAAGCGCTGGCAGACGGCCCACGACGCCTTCGAGACACTACAGGAGCGTTCCACGTGGCAAGGGCGGCGGGGAAGACGCCCTGCATGGGAGAGCAACGGAGGGGGGGTGGGGGGGGCCGTGCGGTCGCCGCCCGCGGGTCCTCCGGCCACGCCCCGCCCCCTGGGGCGAGCGGCGGAAGACCCGCTGCGCGGGCAGAGCAGGGGGCCGCGAGACGGGGAGGGGCAGAGGGGAATGCTCCCTGTCCCCTTGGCGTGTCTCTGTTCGTGCTGAGCCGTTGGATGCAGGTCTGGGCGCCGCAAGGCAGCGCGATGCAAAGCATCGGTTGGCATTGCTCTGGGCGCTTTGCTTCGCATTGCTCAGCACCAGACGACGCCAGGCAACACTGGGCAACGCAGGGCAACCGAGCCGGGCAACCCCGAACAACCTCGGGGAACGCCGGGCAAACGGACAGCGTAACAGCCCAGGGAACGTTGGGCATTGCTTTGTGCGGTGCGTCCCCAGGCAAGCCAGAACAACGTGCAAGCGTAACCCAGAGCAACCCCGGGGGACGCCGGGCACGCGGGCAACGGGAGCAACCCGAGGAACACCGAAAACCAGCTCCCTTAGACGCCGTCGCGCCCACCAGTTTGTTCACAAACCGATGAGGACCTCTGTGGCCACTTTGGGGGAAAACACACGACGTCAGAATTCTGTGGGGGGGAATGGTCGCGGCAGGGGAGGGAACGGCGGAGCAGAGAAAGAGAAGCATCAGCGTGAGAAAGAGACTACCCCAGGCAATATATTCAAACTTGCAGCCAGCGTGGACCCAAACTTATCCCAGCAAAGCAACCTAACAGCGATGTGTAGGAACATATCTGGAAGCATTCCCCTTAAGATTCAGATGAGAATCCAGTTGTAGAATTCTGCTGTTCTCGCAGTCGTAGTCGCATTCGCGATGACAGTCGCAGTGGCAACGGCAGTCGCAGTCACAGCCTCAGCCTCAGCCTGCCTCAGCCTCAGCCTCAGCCTGCCTCAGCCTCAGCCTCAGCCTCAGCCTCAGCCTCAGCCTGCTTCAGCCTCAGCCTCAGTCTGCCTTCAGCCTCGGCCTCAGCCTCAGCCTGCCTCAGCCTCAGCCTGCATCAGCCTCAGCCTCAGCCTCAGCCTGCCTCAGCATCAGCCTGCCTCAGCCTCAGCCTCAGCCTGCCTGCCTCAGCCTCAGCCTCAGCCTGCTTCAGCCTCAGCCTCAGTCTGCCTTCAACCTCGGCCTCAGCCTCAGCCTGCCTCAGCCTCAGCCTGCCTCAGCCTCAGCCTCAGCCTCAGCCTGCCTCAGCCTCAGCCTCAGCCTCAGCCTGCCTCAGCCTCAGCCTCAGCCTGCTTCAGCCTCAGCCTCAGCCTCAGCCAGCCTCAGCCTCAGCCTGCATCAGCCTCAGCCTCAGCCTCAGCCTGCCTCAGCATCAGCCTGCCTCAGCCTCAGCCTCAGCCTCAGCCTCAGCCTCAGCTTCAGCCTCAGCCTCAGTCTGCCTTCAGCCTCAGCCTCAGCCTCAGCCTGCCTCAGCCTCAGCCTGCATCAGCCTCAGCCTCAGCCTGCCTCAGCCTCAGCCTCAGCCTCAGCCTCAGCCTGCTTCAGCCTCAGCCTCAGTCTGCCTTCAGCCTCGGCCTCAACCTCAGCCTGCCTCAGCCTCAGCCTGCCTCAGCCTCAGCCTCAGCCTGACTCAGCATTCAAAATGTGGCCCAGGAATGGAGTTGTGGGAACTCGAATAACACGAAGTGGCCTGCAGTTGGCTCCGGGCATTCAAAATCGTGCCCAGGAATGAAATTTTGGTAACTCGAAGACCGCGAAGTGGCCTACAGTTGGCTCCGGGCATTCAAAATCATGCCCAGGAATGGACTTCTGGGAACTCGAAGAGCACGAAGTGGCCTACAGTTGGCTCCGGGCATTCAAAATGTGGCCCGGGAGTGGAGTTCTGGGAATTCGAAGAGCACGAAGTGGCCTACAGTTGGCTCCGGGAATTCAAAATGTGGCCCGGGAATAGTGTTCTGGGAAGTCCAAGAGCACGAAGTGGCCTACAGTTGGCTCCGGGCATCCAAAATGTGGCCCGGGAATGGAGTTCTGGGAAGTCGAAGAGCACGAAGTGGCCTACAGTTGGCTCCGAGCATCCAAAATGTGGCCCAGGAATGGAGTTCTGGGAAGTCGAAGAGCACGAAGGGGCCTACAGTTGGCTCCGGGCATTCAAAATGTGGCCCGGGAATGGAGTTCTGGGAGGTCGAAGATCACGAAGTGTGTGTGACTGTTTGCTTAAAACGAGCCCGGCCCTGAGCCCGGCCCTCGCTGTCCGGATGCCGCCCAGACCTCCCTTCTGAGTCATCAGATGCTCTCTTTTGACACCACTAGAAACCTATCAGTCTTCGCTGTTAGGTAACAATGGCGTTTAGCAGCATGTGTTGTGCAATATATCTGGAGGTGGTGCAACCAAAGTGCTAAAATCTACGTGGTGCCATCATGTCTTAAATTTGGCGGTATTAACTCCACCACTCGCGTTATCATCCTACGCTCCCACCCGCAACTTGATTTGCAAACTCATGCGGCGGCGATTGCGAGTTCGGCGTTGGCTGGCGTAGCTCCGCGGCCGCGCTGGAGCACCCAAGCTGGCACGCAGAGCGGCCACATAGTCTGACACGACCGACGCGGCCGCGGTGGCGCTGACCGATGGGAATTCCCCCGCGCATCTCACAGGTCGCGCTGGCGCGCGGGCATTTTCAGTTCGGGTCGGCAGCTCGGACGGGCGCGGTATCACAACGACGTAACGGCGGAAGCGATTACGATGTCAGCGATGACGGTGACGATGATGACGACGACGACGGCAAGGCCACTGACGGCGCCGATACTGGTCACGCCGATAACGATGATGATGTCCAACAACATGTCGAGAACCTCAACCTTGAAATCTTCACGGACTCTACGGTTTTGGCACGGTTTCAGCATGCGCGTGCGACGACGCGCGCATATGGGCAATGCCATATATTGTGTAAGGGGTTATTGGAAATTGTTGTGACTATAAATACGAGTGCGCGCGCATAGTAGAATTGGCCGGGTGTATGTGAGGGGCAATACAAAAAGCTCCCTGTGATGAGATGAATTCAACTGCGAAATGAAAAGGTGCGGCAGAACCACATGTAATTAGTAGGTCCCAGGGGGAGTAGACGAAGCCAGAGTGGGGTAGACTCTATGGTCGTGGTTGAAAGGAGAATATGTGAGGTGAAATATTGGTGGTGCAATTCGTTTTGAGGAACTTGGAAATGTCAATTCCACTGCTCGCACAATCATCACACCAACCCGCCCGCAACTGAGTTTGCAAAACTCATGCGGAGGCGTTTGCAATGACTGCTTGGCGCTGGCTGGCGCGTCGCTGCGGCAGCGCTGGCGCGCGCAAGCTTGCGCGCACAACGGCCAGCGAATTTGGCACAACCGACGCGGACGCGGTCCCAGCGGGGCTCTTCACTGCGAGTCGGTGATTCAGGCGGGCGCAAGCGGCGAAAACGGTGATGATGGGTAGCGATGATGACGATGACGACGGCAAGGCCAACGATAGCATAGATGCTGGTCCCACCGAGGAGGGAAGGGGGAGGGAGGATGGGAGGAGGAGAGAGCGAGAAGACAGGGAAGGAGGAAGTAGGAGAGAGGAGGGCAGCAGGAAGGAAGATAGGAAGCCGCCCGGAGCGAGCTGGAGACCCCGGCACGCCCGAACGCCCTCGGCGAGGGCGCAGCTGCTGGAGGGCATCCCGAGGCTGGAGAACCGTGACCAGAAAAACCTCACACCTCGAACCTGTCGTCCCTCCTGAACCCCCCCCACACTAACCCAGACATCCGCCGAGATGATTCCTTCAATCCGCGGCCCCAGAGGTCACGACCCCTTCCCCGGGAGTGTCGTTCCGTCCTGGCTCTGTTTTGGATGGCCCCCAGGCTCGATCACTGGCCCCGGAGGCCGAAACCCAGGAAAGGCCGCCGGGTCGAAAAAACCCTATCCTCGGACCTCCGGGACCGTTGCCCCTGCACCCCCGCCCCGCCGTGCCAGAGCCCGAGCCGGCCCCGCTGTGGACGAAGGCGAAGTGCAGGGCCCGCGACCTCCGCCGCGCCGCCGCCGCACCGGCCGCGCACGCGCGCGCCTTCGCGAGCTGTCGCCGCCGCCGCCGTCCTCCTCCTCCTCCTCCTCTCCTCCTCCTCCTCCCTCCTCCTCCTCCTCCTCCCCCCTCCCCCCCCTCCCCTCCTCCTCCCTCTCCTCCTCCTCCTCCTCCTCCTCCTCCTCCTCCTCCTCTTCCTCCTCCAGTCGCCGTCGCCGGCCGACGCGCACGCGCGAAGGCAAAGGAAGAACGGCACAGGCGGAGCCTCTCGGAGGCCCTCGCGGGCTCGTGTCGGCGCTGCGCCGTTCCCACCCGCCCCGGCCTCGGACCCGCCGTGCACTTGGCGGATCCTCCGACCAGAAGCTGTCGGAAGGGCACGCCAAACGATGCGGCAACATAACTACCCGCCGGTCGGGAGAAGTGGGTGGACGCATGAAGCAGAGAGCGGTGAAAGTAGGTCGGGCTTCTGCCCGCCCCCTGAAGAGGAGGGAAGATGCAAAACCGCTGGACTGTGAAGTAGAAGTGCGGCGAAAGGAGATTGGGGATATGGGGTTCCCCAGATACCTACTTTCAGCCACAGGCGTGTACCGATTTCCGCAGAAGGCATGGCGGAACCAGCGACAGGAAAGTAGGCCGAAAGGCGACATCAAATGGCGGGCGGACATTGACATCAAAGGGGGGGGGGGGCAGGGGAGAGGAGGAGCAGGAAACAGAGGCAGGAGGGGAGCGCAAGGAGGAGGCGGCGCAAGAGGGTTGAGGGGGACGAGGGGATGACCAGCACGGAGGGGGACGACGAGAAAGGCAGCAGGGGAGAGGGAGAGCGAGGAGGGAGAGAGGAGAAGGAGGAGGGGAGAGGAGGAGGAGGAGGAGGAGGAGGAGGAGGAGGAGGAGAGGAGGAGGATGAGGAGGAGGAGGAGGAGGAGGAGGAGGAGGAGGAGGAGGAGGAGGACGGGGCGGGAACGAGGCAAGGGCGGCACAAGCAGGGCGGGAGCTCCCACCCTGCTCACGACAAAAAAAAACATCGCCCGGAGAGCACGCCGGCCCCGAGGCCATGGATGCCCCCCCCCTCGCGCGCAGAACGGCGCCAGGCCCCCGCCTGTTTAGAGGCGGACCATCACGGAGGGGGACGACGAGAAAGGCAGCAGGGGAGAGGGAGAGCGAGGAGGGAGAGAGGAGGAGGAGGAGGAGGAGGAGGAGGAGGAGGAGGAGGAGGAGGAGGAGGAAGGAGGAGGAGGAGGAGGAGGAGGAGGAGGAGGAGGAGGAGGAGGAGGAGGAGGAGGAGGAGGAGGGGAGGAGGAGGAGGAGGAGGAGGAGAGGAGGAGGAGGAGGAGGAGGGGAGGGGAGGAGGAGGAGGAGGAGGAGGAGGAGGAGGGAGGAGGAGAGGAGGAGGAGGCGGGTGGGGCCAGAGGATCTCGCCGCATCGCCGATGCATCGGCGATGCGCTGGCGACGTCGGCGATGCATCGGCGACGTCGGCGTGGAGAGAATCGGGCCATCGAGCCGCATCGCCGACACATCGCTGATGCATCGGCGATGCGGCGCGATTCTCCGACCACATCTGATCCGACCCCATCCAGGAGGCCTAAAATGTTTAGTTATGCCGATTATCTTCGCCTTCGTTCGATCCCCCCCCCACGGCCGTTTCCTCTGCTCCCTGCGCCTCCCGTGCACGATTGACGCGCTTTCGCGCTCCAGCCTGCGGCCCCAACCGAGCCGAGGGACTGCCAGCGCTGCGACTACAGAGTTCAAACCGCCTCGTCTGCTCCGACGAATACCGAAAGCAACTTTTTGGGGGGTGCCAAAGGTGCCCCTGGCCCGAGGTGCCCCCAGATTTTCGCTCAACTCTGGAGCCCCCAGTGAACCCTGGGCCTCGTGAGGGGTGCTCTGGAGGCCGTGGGGGCCTCCTTGGACAAAAATCCTGGGGGCACCTCGGGCCGGTGGCACTTCTAGCAGCACCCGAACTCTTCGTGCCGCCAGCATGGGGGAGCCAGATCCGGAGGGAAACAGGTCCTGAATCCTTGGGCCTCCCCCCCGAGGACGAGATCGTCATCCCGCGTCGTTGTCTGAGGAGGAGGAGGAGGAGGAGGAGGAGGAGGAGGAGGAGTCTCGGCCCGTGCAGGGCCCCGAGGGCGCGAACACGGCGGAAAGCCTCGGGACTCGTTGCTCTCATCGGGGGCGTCCGAGGGGGGGGAGCGCCCAAGAGGCGGGGCGCAAAGCATGGCCTGCGGCACGTGCGTGGCCGAAGGGGGCCAGGGACGGTTTGAGATAAGAGGAGGCGCCAAGAGATCTGGGGAGATATTGTGGCCCCCGCCATGATATATCCCCCCCCCTATCCCCCCCACCCTCTTTGCCACTCCCGCGGCGAGTCTCGGCCGGGCCATCGCCCGCGGCAGCGCCAGCAGCGAGGGATCCCAAACGCCCGCGGGCGGCGACTTCTCCTGGACTCCGACGTCGTGAATTGTATCTCAGCGTCGAAGCCCCGGAGGTGGAGGCCTAGACCCCTGGAGGAGGAGGAGGAGGAGGAGGAGGAGGAGGAGGAGGAGGAGGAGGAGGAGGAGGAGGAGGAGGAGGCGGAGAAGTTTTTTGACGAACGCCCTGCCCCACCAGCTTCACTCTCTGATGGGGACCGCTTCCACCCGAAGCTTCTCCTTCGGATGCCAGCCCCGCTTGACCCTGGACCAATACTCCGCCGCTTTGGCGAGTGGACGTGTGCACTCGTTGAGGAGGAGGAGGAGGAGGAGGAGGAGGATCGGCCCACCGAGGGAGACACGCCGCAGGAGGAGGAGGAGGAGGAGGAGGAGGAAGAGGAGCTTGACACATGGAGGGCGGGCCCCTTCCAAAAAGTGGCTCTCGCTTTAGCGCCGCGTAGACTCGTTTGAGCAAGTTGCAAGAACTTGACGAATTGAGGGCGGGTAGTTTTCAAAATGTGACTCTCGTCTTAGCGCCGCGCACATTCGTTTCAAACATTTGCAAGGGCTTAACGGATTGATGGCGGGTCGTTTTCAATATGTGGCTCTCGCCTTAACGCCGCGTACATTCGTGGAAACAAATGCCAGCAGTTTTTCACAGATGGAGGGCGGGTCGCTTCCAAAATATGACTCTCGCATCGCGCACACTCGTGTGGAATATGTACAAGAGCTTCACGGATTGAGGGCGGGCCGTTTTCAAAATGTGGCTCTCGTCTGAGCGCCGCGCACATTCGTTTGACAAATTTGCATCAGCTTCACGGATTGAAGGCGGGCTGTTTTCAAAATGTGACTCTCGCCTTAACGCCGCGTGTTCGTCTTTAACAAATTGCAAGAGCTTCACAAATGGAGGGCGGGTGGTTTTCAACATGCTGTCGCCTTAGCGCCGCGCACATCTGTGTTCTGAAACGTGCAAAAGTTTCGTGGATTCCCATGGTCAACGTACCAGTAATGGTGTTCTGGAAGGACTCTGGACTGTCAACAGTTATGTCGATTCGCGGTGTTCAGATCCCAAGAATGGTGTTCTGCAGTGATTCAAAATCGTCAAGACGCAACAGTCCGGTTCATCCGCGACGTGGGGGGGCCGAGAATGGTTTTAGACGCGCTTCCGGGTCTTCAAGCGGTTATCTCCCATCGAGGCGGTTCCGTATGTGGAAATGAACCCTTGCAGCGGCCAGTGAAGAGGAAACTTGGAGGGAGGGTGTATTCCAACATCGTTCATGGGTCATGTTTAAAACTCCTCCTCCTCCTCATCATCATCATCCTCACCATCAACATCATCATCATCATCATCATCATACTCATCAGCAACCGCCACCGCCATGATCATGATCACCCTCCTCCGCGTCATCATCACCATCATAATCATCATCATCGTCATCAACAACATCATCAGCATCACCATTACCACCACCAGAACCACTACCACAACCACTACCACCACTACCACCATTATCATCATCACCACGACCATCATCAACATCATTACCATCAGCAGCATCAACATCCGCATCATCATAGTCGCCCTCATCCTTATCATCATCCTAATCTTATATGGCACGGCATGGCCTCACTCTGTAGATCCAGGATAACGCCTATAATACTCCAAAAATACTCCTCCTGGGATTTTTATCCTCGGGTAATGGATACTCCAAAAGAGCTAGCGCCAAAAAAAAAGGTGCGCATTCGTTAGGCACGTCGGGCTCTCGGTGGGCCGCGCTAGCGGAACGAAAGCGCGCGTGATCCCCCCCCTCCTCCTCCTCTCCCTCCTCCGCTCCTCCTACCTCTTCTCCTCCTCCTCCTCCTCCTCCTCATCCTCCTCCTCCCCCTCCTCTTCCTCCCCCTCCTCCCCCTCCTCCCCCGCCTCATTCTCCTCCCTTTCTCGCCCAGGAGGCTTCAGACTCTGGAGGATTCCTCATCTGAGGAGGGCGGAGGCGATACCCGCGGCCGATCCACAATTGGAGTTCCACCAGCTCCCAGGCCCTGGAATCGTTGCCCAAGGTTTCCTTATCCAAGGCCCCCGCCGTGATGTCACAGTGACACCTCCCTCCTCAGTGCTGCATCATTTTCCTCCGCCCTTGCTGTTGCACCCCCTCCTCCTTACCCGATTGCGACGTCGACGGTCGACGACGACGACGAGCAATGACGGATTCGGTAATGGCGTTCGACAGCGAGCGACGAGCGACGAGCGCGACGACGATTGCGACGAGCGACATCGACGACGACGACCGATGCCGCCCGCAACGACGGCGACGACGGCGCATCATAGAGCATGGTTTCAACCCTGATGTGTTTGGTTGCTAACGCTGCGATCTGCGTGAGAGGTGCGCCCGATTTCCATTATTGCGAGGATGCCTTGAGCAAAGTGTTCGGTTGCCCAGCACGGGGCGCAAATCATCGCACCTGAGCCCTTGCCCCGCCGCAAGGGCTCGACTGTTATATTTCTGTTCCGTGGGTGGCCGTTTTGGTTCGGGCTCCACGTCCGCCGAACGCGGGCTTCCCTTTTCCTCCCGCTCCCCTCTTCCTTGATGACCTCCCCT